AGAAAGCTTTGTAAAGGTGATGAAATATGGGCTGCCCATGTTGCTTACTCAAGATGAAGGCCTCAAATCCTTCATTGCCAACCTAACTGCTCAGCTTTCTGGTAAGTAATACCTATTTAGGGTTTTATCGTTTCGGGTCTGTTTGTGTTTAAATCTTAATTTAACAACTCAACTTTGAAAGTATGAAACGATTTATTCATCTACACCAAATATAATTACATGGGTTGATTGAAATATGTTGTTCTTGGGTGACTGATATTTTATATTCTTCAATCTTGTAAAGAATGGCTGGAATCTGGCAAGTTACAGAGAGTGGTTCTGGTCATACTGAGCAAGGCGACTAATGAGGTTCTAGAGAGGTGGAACTTCAGCATTGAGACTGACAATGAGGTCGTTGAGAAGGGGTAATTCAATTCAACTTTGGATTTTTTTTAACTGTGTCCCTCATGTTGCATACAGTTGTCAAATTTTCAATTCTTTTCTAAATCTCTTCTCACTGTTTTGTTTGGTTTGACTGAAGGGAGTCGAGGGAAAAGAGTGACAAGGAAATCATGAGGGAGATTCAAGCAATCATGAGGCAGATTGCTTCAAGCATTACTTACTTGCCGTGCCTTGATGAAGCCTGTAAGAGCACACTCATTCACCCAATTGAAAAAAAATGGTTTATTTCTTTGACCTTGGTGTTCGTCATGTTCATGTTCATGTTCATGTTATTGTTTGCTTTAGGTGTGTTCGATGTTTTGGCATACACGGATAAAGATCTTGCAGTCCCATTCACTTGGGTTGAGAGTGACCCCAAACTGATTGCAAATCCACAAATTGTGAAATTGCATTCCTTTGACACCAAGGCAAGTTCCAGAAATTGAATCCCATTTATTTATCCGTTTAGAAATCTCTTTACCATAGAAAAGGGAAACGGGTTTGGCGGCTGACAATATTTTTGTTTGCTGACCATGCAGATTCACAAGGTTGACACTCTAGTGTCCTACAAGAATGACGAATGGGATGAGCAGTAGCGGAAGGAGAGTGGAGGGGATATCCATGTTTGCTTGACTTTTGGAACTGTGAATCTTTTATTCACATTGGGTTAGAAAAACTAGTTGGAAAGAGGACGATGACTTGATCTTATCAGTAAGATGTTCTCCGCCTTGGTGTTTGCTACCATTGGATGTTGTATAATTTGTATGTGGGTGGGAGGAACTTGTGTTTGAGTTGTATTCATTTCATATAAGACTACTATCTAGCAGTTTTCATATATAAAAGGATCTTGTAGTTTCCGTATTCTTCAAAATGCACCACATATATCACTTAATTGGCATGAATAACCATCCTTCAAAAAAGGAGATATGTGCAACTGTTTGATTATTTTGAGCATCCAACGTTCATCTTGTAGCGAGCCCTTTGCAATAAGAGAGAGAAAGCTCAACACTTGGGTAGGAAGGCTATAATGAGGAGTTTATTTGAGGGGTTTCATCCCACCATCACTTAATTGGCATGAATAACCATCCTTAAAAAAGGAGATATCTGCAACTGTTTGATTATTTTGAGCATCCCAAGTTCATCTTGTAGCGAGCCCTTTGCAATAAGAGAGAGAAAGCTCAACACTTGGGTAGGAAAGGCTATAATGAGTAATTTAGAGTGAGGAGTTTATTTGAGGGGTTCTATACCACCATCAACAAAATGTGAGGAAATCAATGGATTTTAAATGATTTGATGGTGGGATTGAACTCCTCACTCTTGGTATTTAAAGATTGTTTATGCATTCATTCACCACAATGTTCGGCCCAATAAAATGGGCTGGCCTCAGTTTGGGCTAGGAGAGTAGAACCAAATTTGAGTGCAACCAAGTTTGGGCTAGCATGAACCCCTAAAGTTCACAAAAGTAAAAATATGAGGGTAGTTTTGGCATGACAAATCTGATTCCCTTTCCCTCTTCTCCAATCCTACCTCTTCTTCACTCAGTAATCAAAATCCCTTCAATATCAGTAAAATTACCGATTTTGTGTGGATCCCATCTTACTATTCATTCCTAAAGTTTACAATAGTAAACATTGGAGTAAGTGGAATGGAATCACTCCCATTCCCTTTAGTAAACATGTCCTAATACTCAACCACGGTCCCTCACCAGGAGAAGAAAAATAATACAGCGCCAATATTAGTGGTAGAGAAACGGAAAATTCCATCATTTGGGTCAAATCAGTGCACACAAAAGATACATTGTAATTAATAGAAAATAAAATGTTTAATCTATCCAAAAATGAAGCATAGAAGAAACAAGAGAATCACGTATTTACACCCAAACGTAATTACTAGAAAAGGATATTTTTAATCTGTCCAAAAATGAATTGTAGAAGGCTTGAAACTTCTTTATATCTTGAAAAATTACATATTTACAAACATCAAAGTCCAGGCCAGTATGTGCAATATTAAAATCTGTGCCTAAGGCCTTTGTCCTTGTCCTTGTTCTACCATAACACAAAGTGCAGCATTAAACATGACTTAACAATACGGATCATCCGCACTTACATTAAGAAGGAAACATGATAAATACATGGTTCCCTCAACTCACACCACGGTATATTGCACCAGGTCGAAGATCATCCATATTTTCAATATTTCTGTACCCATCAAACTCCCTCAGACATGACCACCCCCGGCGGGTCAGAAAATCACGATAATCATCTTCAGTGTAGAAAATCTTATCCTCTGTATGTACTGGTATATGGTCTGACTCATCATAGAGGCACACTTTGATGGCCACCCCTGAAATTAGGACTCTAGCATCAAGTTTTCATTATAAAAGGTGGAGCAGAACATTATTAATTTTTATGAAAATTCTATTAAATACTGTGAATAACATTTGCTACTTTTCTACCACTTTTTCATTTAGCTGATGTCAAAGGAACGTTTTAAATCATTATGGCCATTACGAAACCTATACCTTCATCAAGATGAAGGGTGTAATTCCCCAGAGGCATGTCCCTGTCAAGACTGCGGACTATCTGGTCTTCATCCTCCAACCAGAAGGCACGTTTTGTTCTCAACCTAAAAGCAGACTTAATTGCCTCCTTAATGGCATCGGCAGTTCCATCAATACCAATCCTTCTAGTATAATCACCCCAAGTGACTAATATGACTCTACCACATGATTGACCCTCCCCACCTGCCAAAAAGGAGAAAATAATTTGAAATAAGTGAACCATCTTACCAGTGACTCATATCTGAGTAAGAAAAATGAAGATTTGAGTGCTACTCATTCATACAAAACATTTGGAGCATAAACACTCAAGACACATGTAGAGAAAATTTCACAACTACAATTCAATTTAGTTTTCTTACCATTTCCAGGGGTTTCTCTCCAATTCCAAGGTGGAACTCCACTCGCTGTAACCGCATCAGCTGCAGTTATGGCAAGAGGATGACCATCATGATCCAAACGTCGTTCCAGATTGAGCGTTGGCCTCCCACTAGCTGCACACCAAGGAACTTAAGGGAGGACAGACACCTCTTTGAAAGAAATTGACTTTTAAAACAATATGATGAAGCAGAATATAGAAGTAACATGCAGAAGAGTTCACATTATCCTATTTTGCCTTACTCCTTGCACTTCAAGAACTCAGCATTTCCGGCCAAAAGGAAAGTAAAAAACATAATTGGTAATTGAATCATGAATTCTATCTATTATGCTAATATCCAACATTAGCCTTGAGATCAGCTATTTGAGATGCTTGTACCTGAATAAATTGTTCATTCCTCAAAAGATGACAAGTAATAAGTAATCATATTCTAACAGATTCTAACAGTGGTCATGAGTTATCAGGCAAACTAATAATTAGGTGATCAAATGGCATAAACATTAACCAGAATACAAAAATTCAGATTACATTGATAATACCTTCAACAGGTGCAAAAGAAATGCTTGCATCTTCAATACCTGCATGGGCAGAAAATCACTAAAATGGTTGTTCCAATGTTATCAACACAACATAGATAAAGGATGGGTGGGGCAGAAGGACGTCACTTATGAAACTAGGAGACAAGAAAGCAGCATTTTCAAAATAAAAAGACTGGAGAACAATAATGCACTGCCCAATGAAGGAAAAGAAAAGGAATGACTTGGAACATAAAAGGACATTCAAGTGAATCATGTAAGACAATCCCCATGCAGCATTTGATGCATGGGGAACGGGACGGAACACTTCCTTCTAACAAGTGGCTGAGAGTTAGCAAGCAACCTTGGCCTCTTGGCCGGAGGTTCACTGCGCTGTAATAATAATTGGGCCATGAGAGACCTTATAGCAGGGGCTCACCTGAGCTGCAGCCCACCCCAAATTAGAGACAAAATGGAAGAAACCTCTACGAAATTAAGGAAGGGGGGAGGAAAACCCTCTAAGAACCAGCCCATCCAGGCCACCTGATGCAGGACGCTTAGGACCAAAATTTATTAGTTTCCTAGATTCACTAGTTTTCCCAATTCAAGTAGGATTTCTACTTTTCCAGATTTCCAGATTTCTAGTTTTAAGTTTCATATTTAATTTGGGTTAGGATTTCTGTTTAAGCAAGGGATTTTTATCCTATTATGTCTAGGTTTTAGTTTGCTATAAATACCCCCATGTAGTTCTTTAAAATTCAGATTTGAATGTTGAGTAAACCTTTTCCTAGAACTCTCTGATTTCGTCCCTTCGATCTATATTTCTTCTCCTCAATCTCCGATATTCTTTTTTGTTCTACTGTTTCTGCCCTTTATCTCGTCTTTTCGATCCATATTTCTTCTCCTCGGTTTCTTATATTCTTCTATGTTCTATTGTTTAAGTGCTTAATCTAACACCTACGGGCTGTACTACATCAATTGGTATCAGAGCCAGGTTTATCTCGTCTACAAGGTCAGGGCCTACCCCGAATTGCAATGCTGGTTGTTCCTGATAGGGAACATTAAAATAGCATAACTTAACTGCTAAGTATCCCCATGGTCAGTTACAAAAGCTAAACATGACAGGTTTTCTTCTAACTCCAAGACACGTGTAATTATTTATAAAATATGCACAACGCACTACAGAAAACGTAACAGGAAACGGTTTTTATACAGTCTATAATGTGTCAGGAAAGACTGCCAGAGTACCATGAGACTAAGTCACAAAATAGTGTAACTACAGATGAAAACTTCCTTGTGTATAAGATTTGTTTTGTACGAAGCCATATCATCAATAGTTTACAAAATACTATGCAACTCTCATGCATGTTCAACACTCTATAAAACCTAGCATATGACATCTCCATAATCAACAATTATAAGCAAAAGGACAAATTCAATGCTTTACCACATTAAGCTAGTACCTTATCCATCGTTTATTATATCATGCAATTGCAAATGGAGTACATTTCCAAAACAAGACCACTTGACAATCCAAATATTCTTTCTTGCTTCTTCTCTCATCTTTCCATTCATTTAAGTTAAGCGCTAGATTTAGGGAAACAATTGCTATAGAGTGCATTTCCAGTCTCAACATAAGTCTGCAACCGAGCAGAAATTGACTATTCACTAGGTTCCACTAATCTGTTAATCACCGTCCACTGGTTTATAAAATCATGACCCTAAGCCTACCCCAACTAGTAGTCTAGATATCTAAGCAATAGGTCTACAACATCCTCAAAAGTAACTTACCGTAAGGTCCTGTTTTCCAGATAACATCAGATTACTTGTTAAGATTTTTGTATCTTCCATTTATCTTTAACCACACTCCAAGATGTTCCTGTAGATTTATCATATCTGTGTCTAAACTAAATGCCATTACTGCAGGAAGCACTCAAATCAGCAGTTTGAAGAGGATGACTTTATTAAGGTAAAAAGGACCAGAAGTTTCCTCAGTCCTCAATTATAAATTGTTACAAACCTTTTATACTCCAAACCCCAAATAATACCCATTTCCAGATACAGAAACATTTCTAAATTCAAAATACTAAATGAAACCCTCTAAATTTAGCTTCTAATACATTAATATGGTACCAATCTCTTTTTCAGGGAAAGAGGAAAGACTACAAAAATGGAAAACTAATGAAGACCAACATATACATAAAAGGTAGGCAATCATATTTTAGTCAGAAACCAAAAATCCAGGAAAAGCAAATACCTTTGTCCGAGAATTGCATAAAAGAATCAACCTTTGGAGGTGTGGGACTTTTGTACTGCGCGTTCTTATTTCGCTCCTTCAAAATCTCCTCAATCTCCTTGTAATATGACATCTTAGCTGACCCACTTCCCCTGTCATGGTGCTTAGCCTTTTTGAACTCTTTAAGCAAGTTTCTCCACTTGTCGGTGCACATAGTAGGAGACCGATCGAACCCTTTCTCTCTCATCTTAGCCGAAATCTGCTCCCACAAGTGCTTGTTAGACTTGGAAGTGTTAAACAAACCGTCCATTTCACGGCGCAGAGCTATCAAACTCCGAGTCTCGTCTTGGACCCAAGTCTCGGCTCGCTTCTTCGGGGCCTTAACTTCATGGTCCTCGCCGCTGCTGTCCCCCAAAAGCATCTGCTGCTGCTGCTGCTGTGGTTGATGGTTGGGGTGATGAGTTTGAGATTGAGAGAGGTCTTCATTGGAAACCACCTCAATCATCATGTCTCGGCCGCCTTCCTCTTTGTAAAAATCGATTGCTCGAGGCTTTTCCGACAAGTACATGGTGGTTGGTGACTGGGTGTTGAAATTGAGAAACTGGGTTTACTCAAAATTGGGTCTTTAAATCCGTTGGGCACGCGCTAGAGAGAGAGAGAGACTGCGAGACTGAGTTTGATTAGAAGGGGATGAGGTTCAAGAAGAAAGTGAGGGTCTCCATGAGCAGCAGCAGCAAGCCCATTATTAGAAGGTCTCTTGTGCTTTCTTCAGAGAGAATGAGATGGAGATTTGGGCCTTGCTTAGGATTATTGCTTCCCTTTCTGCAGACGGAAGTTTGGGTTTTTAGCTCAGACAGAGAGCTCTAGAGAGAGAGAGAGAGAGAGAGAGCGTGAAGTAAAAGCTTTGCTTGTTATTAGCGAAGAAAGGAGAACGAACTCAGCTGGACCTCTCTCTCTTCTCTCTCTCTTCCACTGTGGTTAATGAGCTTTTATAGTTAGTTACTTCTACTCAAAGTTCCACACGCTAAACGCTGCGTTTGGTAGCCGTTTTATACTTTTATAGTATCCTGTAAGACGACGACGTTTTGAACTAGCTATAAAAAACGTTGTATCTTGTAAAATGAAATGTTATCATTTGCTACCCGCCTTCTCTCTCTCTCTCTCCCTCTCTCATTGTGGAGTAGCAAAACCCTAGTAATGGTTGCCAGAAATTTGTGATAGATGAAGCTCCTTCAAATTTCTTCCTCTCATTCCATTGCTTCTCTTAAATGTCTCCATGGAAGAGTGCCCTTTCATAATATCAAACCAGCTTCTGCTTCCTTCGCAACTCACAAAGTCGGAGTCTTTAATTCAAGCCGTCTCTCAGGTATAAAATCAAACACCTTTGGTCTCAATTTCCCCCCTCATTTTTGAACCAAGGCATGCCAATGATGTGGGTTTTTTTCACTCAAATTGAATTGGGTAAACTTAATATTGAGGCCTAAAAGTTTTGCGTTTGGGTTTTCTTTGTTTCCTCATTGAGCTGAGCCATCTGCATTTTTTTGTGTTCGAGCGTTTTGCCACCCACATAGGGTTGGCATAATGCAGTGAGTAGGAAAAGCATTGAATTTTAAGTTCCTTCTTTGATAAAAGGAAGGATCAATACTTGTCCTGACGGAGGAAGAATAGAATATGCTTCCCTTTGAGTTTTTGATTAAGGAGAAGATCACTGCCTGTTTGTGTAATGTTATATATGTGTCCAACAGCTATTTTGCATTGTTTGTTAATTTTGTAAACAAATAGCTCAATATTTTGCATATAAAAATTTAAGGAAGTTTCTTCAACTAAACTTTCAAGCAGTGTGTGGCTTTTGCAGGGCCTCTCGTCCAAACAAAGTGGCCATGGGCGCCATTGTCATATCAGCAATGAGCAATCCCTGCTGCACCAGATTCTGCAGCTTTCACCAGAAAGCTGTAGAATTTCTATCTTCAAGGAAAATAGGTGCAAATGTGATTGTGAGACCTTTTTCCACATGCACCTCAACGGTGATCTCTCCAATTTTCCCTCTTGTCATGCGTCCCCCATCGTCCTTAGTGATGGCCACCCAGCTTTCACCATCTGATGCTCCCCAACGATCAGAGGAGTGGTTTGCTCTACGAAGGGACAAGCTCACCACAAGCACCTTCAGCACTGCCTTGGGATTTTGGAAAGGGAACCGTCGGCCGGAGCTCTGGCATGAGAAGGTATTTGAATCAGAGAAACAAATTGTGGAAGCTTCTAAAAGAGCCATGGAATGGGGCGTACTCAATGAAGAAGTGGCCATTGGCAAGTACAAAAGCATCACAGGTCGTGAAGTGAGTTCATACGGATTTGCAACCCACACAGAGGAGCGACTTGGTTGGGTTGGTGCCTCCCCTGATGGTCTTCTTGATGGTCTTATCGATTGCTTTCAAGGTGGTGGGATACTGGAAGTGAAGTGTCCATATAACAAGGGCAAGCCTGAGAAGGGTCTGCCCTGGTCAACTATGCCGTTCTATTACATGCCTCAGGTGCAGGGTCAGATGGAGATAATGGACAGAGAGTGGGTTGATCTGTATTGCTGGACACCAAACGGAAGCACTATATTCCGTGTGTGCAGGGACCGTAGCTACTGGAACTTGATGCATGGAATTTTAAGGGAATTTTGGTGGGAAAATGTGATTCCTGCAAGGGAAGCTCTGTTGTTGGGGAAGGAAGAAGAGGCCAAGCAATATATCCCAACTTCTACACACAAGCAAACAGGGCTTGCAATTGTTAAGAGCCTGAAGTTAGCCAGTGAGGCTAAGTTGTTGTGTAGAGAAATTGCAGGTCACGTTGAATTTTTCTAGTGATGATGAGCCTCAAAGTAAAAGGATGAGTAAAGCTTACCCTTATCTTGTTGCCCCTCCCCTTGAGGCTTAGATTGTAGCCCATTGGTTCCCAATGTATTTGTCAATTGAATTAGATCTCATGGTGTATTTATACAGTTCGAATGTTTTGATGCATAATATATACTTTTGATCTGCAATCTTTGACTGCTTCCTCCGCAACTTGGTTAGCCCAAAAAAACCGTAGTAAAACTTATGGTCCTGATTTGCAGTATGATTGTTAATGACATCACTTCACTGGTGCTTGAACCTATTACATGAAAAATCAGATACACCGAAGGTCCCATGTTCGAATCCCCTAACCTCAATATATTGTTTGTTATTAAATAAAAATTGGAACTAAAAAAAACCATATTGGACTGCCTAAGAGGAGACGATGTGCATCTCAGACAATAAGAATAACAGACTCTCCAAAAATGTGCATTGACTGAATGGCTATAACATGCCAAGCCCTGTAAGTTATTCCGTTGCCTCCTGTGAGACTTGGTCAACAAGAGGTTATTTACTAAAATAACCAACTTTAAACCAAATTTATTCCGGCCAGAAAGAAAAAAAGACCGAATCTCTTACTTTAGTCAAATAAAGGACATGTCACATAACCAAATTAAGAATCGAAGTTGGTTCGAGAAACATCGAGCTACATAATAAGCAAAAGACCGTTAGACAAATTTCTAAACTTGTTCATCAGAAATAACTAACTTCTGCCAAACCCGTCCTTTCACTGAAATTTTAAGGAAAAGCAGATTTGGATTAAAATAAGCAAATAACCCTTTTGCAACACATTGCCAAAGCTTTGCGTCTAAAACAAGTTCCAAACCAAGAAACGCACAAGAGAAGAAAAGAAAAGAAAGAGGACATGGATTCTGGTTTGTCCTGGGCTGATCAATGGGATAACAACCCCGACCCACCACCACCGGGATCATCAGAGAATGACAAGAAGAAGGGCAAGGATGGATCAAAGAGCAGTTTCGGGAAGGCAATTTTAAGCTTCAAGTGGGTGGAAAAGCTCCGGAAGAAATCTTCGAAAGAATCAGATACATAGAACACTACATGTGTCGAACAATGTAGCCTCTTCCATCTCCTTGCAGCAATAATATGCCCACTAATAACCAGTTTAATCCCATTTGTCTTCATTTAGTGTTGCACTTTTATAGCTGCATTTGTCACCTCAACATTGATTTAATAATAAAATTTACAGTTTGCTCATTTATTCCTTCGCATGGTACATAATTATTCAAGAAGCCAGATGAGAGAGGGCAAGATTTGGTTAACGATATCGTCGAAAGACATGTACGCATAATGAAGATTTGCAGGAACCAAAATGCCACTGGCAAGAGAATCTGATAGCAGAGTTAGCACACGAAAGAAATGCGAGAGTATAATCATTGTCTTTGATGTGCTGGGACTTGGACCATGCATGCCATGAATGTCTCTCATTCTCAGCACAGCCGATTTCTGAGGTGCTGAAGAGAGGGGCATTGAAAACGTGACTAGTGGTTTTGGATGATGACTTGATAACTTAAAAACCACTTTTTTCCGAAGTTTGCATTTTCGTTTCTAAAAAGAGCCTTTGAAGAAGAGAGGAAGATGGAGTTTTTATCTAAGAACCTTTCAATAAAAATGACTGGCCATCAGGTCAGGACTGAGGACGGATAAACATGCACCATCCATTTTAAAGTTGAACAGTGTCACAGAACATACTTATATGCCATGCTTTGCAGAATAAAGTCGAGGAATGAAGTCAAAATCATTTCTTAAATAACTCTGTTGAGACCTATCTGTCAATCCCACAATACAAATACTAGATCAACAATGCAAGGAGCTTGAGGCCTCATTGGATGATAAGTCTTAAATATGTGACTGCACGTATGCTCAAAAAGTTTATGCAATGGCTTTGTTCACTTGAAATTAAAAGCATAAATTGATTATCAAGTACATTTTACAACATTCAGCTGCATCAAAACAAGCATAAATGACTTTTGCTCAATGCACACACAGTTTTAACTGCCAGAAACCATAACTGAAACCAACAAAACCCTCCTCGAAAGAAATAACATGGTACAATTCCCATTTGAAATCAACTAAGCGTTTCCGTTGAAGGAAACATTCATAGCTACATCAATGGCGCTAAGCAAGAACAAAGCCAGGAAATGACATTAAAAATGATACAGGAAAAATCAGTGTATATATAAAGCCAGGTAGAAGAGGAGCGGTCCTCTGCATGGGGCTTTAACCCAAATAGTGGGCCACAGAAGACACTACCACTAGAACAGCAATCTTCATAAACCGCTGCACAGCTGGAACACTGATCGATAGACATAATTCATCGCATGACTGGAACAATCAACACAACCCCGCTTCAATGCAGCATATGAGTGCTTCCACGGGCCAGCAAAGAGTTTATGGAGCACGATGGCAAATGCATAGTACAACAAATAAGTCACCTTTCCACTTTGCTCTTTACACTTAGTTACTCCTACTGTTGAACGTAGGCTACCTCACATCTCAGTCAGATGCCAACAAACTTCACAGCCTAATATTCACAGGCGAATCACCCAACAAACTCATAAAACTTTTATTTGTGCCAGAGCCAACAAAAAGAATCACCATTAACAAAACTTCATGCCCCAGACGACGGACGCAGAACTTTGCTTATGATGATCCTTCATCCCTCAAATTTCCATCTCCTCTGTTTTTATTTTTTACAATTTTTTTTTTCTATTCATCATGAAGATAGCAGTGGGCTCAGAGCTTCAGATGAGATACAAAGAACCAAAGTTGAAGTCAACCAATAGGGCTAGACCCAACAAAGTCACTTGACCAAGCGATACGAGGTAAAGGAACCATAATCTTAAAGTTTGTCATGATTTTTCTTGGTCAGATGCCTTAGTTACCACTTGCAATTTTCTCATCCATAACATGAAACCAGCAGATCTACAAAACCAACAGTATCTAGCCATGTTGACCAAAGCCATCATTCTGTTCATGGAGAATGACAGACTTGGATGGACCATACTTTCTATCCTGCCTCTCTTGAGACTTATGCCTCTTCCCACAATCTGAGCAAAGCTTTTCGAGACAAAAGGTTTCCTCATACTCATCATCAGTAATGCACCGACCACACTGAACACACCTCCCTATGCAAAGTGTGCAAGCCCTGCATACCTGAGTTGGATGTCTTTTCCCTGGACAAACCTCAGCAGGGCAATCATAAACAAGCCTCAGGTTCTGACATCTAGGGCACATTTCAATATCAATGTCGCTATCATCATCACTGGGCAGATAAAAGTTCCCTCTGTGATAAAAATGGGGCCTTCGGGGATTCTGCTGCATTTGGCTATCAGTGCCCAACAAAAATTTCAGCTCTTCAAAATGCTGCTGTGTCACACCATAGAGTCCACCAATTCGTAAATGCTTCAGATCTTGTGCACCCTTAGACTTGAAAGCCTTTAAGTTATTCACGATGCCCTCAATACTGAGTTTAGTACACCCAGGCACACTCAACTGCATATATGAAGGAAATGTTTAGGAAGGTTATTGAATGAACAAAAACATTATGTAGAACTAGAAGAAAGTACTCCATTCTCATAAAGAATGATAGAGTGAATTGAGCAGGAAAAATGAGGTTCTGGATTTAGGCATAAGAAAACCTGAGCTACCAAAAAAATTCAGTGCCGGAATGGCTAATGGGGTTTCAAAGCATAAGGAGCAAGATACAGAAAAAGAATGGGAGAGAAAATAGAAAATAAAGACACAACCCAAAACTGTCGTCAGAGCATTAGGATAGTATGCTACTTCTTGGTTTGTCCCATTTAGTAACTGGTAAAAGACAAACTTGCAGGCAAAAGATACCACGTCCTATCATCTGGACAACTTGTGAGAGCAGTTACTCTAACTTAAGTATTATGCATAGCAAAAACTACAATTCCAACTTCATCAACACAAAGAACAGAGGATAACCAACTCTAGGGGGACTAAGCTGCATTTTATAGATAAAAGAAAATATAAAATATCTCAGCAACAAACTGTATACAGAAAGTCACTTCGAGCCCATGAAGTCTAAGGTAGAACATTAATAACAAAAAATGATTTCTTTTAGAGAAATGTGGTCTGGAAAAATATACTTCCTATAAAGAGACAATAATTAATAAAAACACTGAACAGTTAAGGTAAAATGGACCAAACATTTAGGAGTCAGTGCATAAGCCAAAAATGATAAAAGTCATACTAACCTTGGTTAGCCTAGGATTACTTTCAAGCACACGCTTCAGACCATCATCAGTGATCTTAGAGCACTCCACCAGGCTCAAGCACTGCAGACTTCCTTGAGCCCTGTTGGTTAACTGCAGAAGAATATCATCGGTAATCTTCTCATTCAATGGTTGATCTATGTGAATACTTCTCCACAAGAGGGGGTCACCGTGAACAGTAGAACGGAGAGACCTGCAAACTTTCTCTACAACAAAGAGATCCCGTACACCCAGATAACCAAGGGCAAACATCAAAGCACAAGGAGGAGTTCCTCCATCTCCATCTTCATCAGTTAAAATCCCATTTCCATCCTGAAACTCTACATTTTTCTGATTGGAACAACTTTCGTTGCCAAAATTCAAAATGTCAGCCACTGCACAAGCTGATCCGAAACCACCGTGGCAGGAGGCATCACCATCTCCCTTCTCTTTTGAACACCCAGCAAATCCATTTGCTACATTAGACTTGTGATCAACCCCAATATTCCCAGGGAAAGCGTGGAACCTCATAGCATTATTCCAAATAAAATTCAATCCTGCAAAAAGTTCATAATTACCATTACTTGGCCCCACATGGTGCCTTCCGTAACCACCATAGTCCACTTCCAAATCCTCAAGCCAGCCCGATATCGCCGTAAACGTGGTACTCATATCCATGCCGAAAGGGTCCGAAGGCAAAAGATCAAGAATGTCATTTGAAACTGGATCCTGTAAGCCGCCCCTATCACATCTATCAAAGAAATCTTCCACTTGCCTGTTCGAATGCCACGGCCTACCGAAACCATCTCCATTCCTTTCTGGCATACCCTCCACGAGGTACCCATTGGCAATCCTCATTGGTGAAACCAAATTGTCCTCAGACAGATGTCCGGGAAAGATTGGTCGACAGGAAAAATTCAAGGCCATTGAATATACACCACAACCCAATTTCTCTACTATACACAAACCCTAGATATCCTAAACACTTCTCTCTCTTTTTTTTTTTTGGTTTTCTCTGGAAAGAAACAAGGGGAAGATCTAACAAGCAAACCCTCAATTTCTGATGGCAAACTAAAACGACGCCCAAAAATTTCACGGAGTTTCTTGAGAAGAACCTAAAAGCAGCTAGAAGGAAACGAAAATGAAAACAAAGGTACCGAAATTTATCTACAGGATTAGAATCAAAGAATTTACTCTTTTTTAAATTTTTTTTCACTCAACTACCCTAGGGTTTATACGAAACAAGGAAAACAAATATTGAATATAGAACAGATCAAAGTCGCAATATTTTAACAGAATGAAAGCAGAAATTGATAATACGAGGGATAATCAAATGAATAAAAAACGAATCGAAACAATTACCACAACCCTAATTTGCACATACGAACGCAATCGACAAAGCCAAGCCTCTTGGTACGGAACCCTCACAGAAGAAGAATAAAAAGATAAAAACTTTTTGTTCGATTCGACGGAAACTCTAGTGTTTAAGAGATTTTGGTCTTTTCCTGAGGTGGGAATCGATCCGAATAGAGGACGAGAGCTTGTCGATCGTGTTCAGGGAGACAGACACAGAGAGATAGGGAGGAAGAGAGAGAGAGAGAGAGAGAGAGGACGAGAGGTAGACGAGGACGAGAAATGCCGAGAAAATTGAATAAAACTAAAGAAATAGTAAAAGCCCGAGAAAAATATTGAAAAAAGAGAGACAAAGTGAAGGGTAACGGTGAATTGTCCAATTTAGGACAGAGGGGCGTGGGGAGAAGGACACGTGTCGGTTGTGGCGGGAGAAGAAATTCTTGTTGTTTCGCTCTGATTCTGAAGAGCACAGCTGCACAAGCCACAAGAGCCTCCCTCGCCCATTTATAGTCTCTCCCCCCTACCCTTCAAATTAACTTTTAACTAAATTAATCACTCACTTTTTATTTTTTATTTTTTTTAATACAAACGATATTGTGATATTCTAACAAATGACATTGGCGGGATTTTCTTTCGCCCATTTATTGTGAATTGTTATATATTATATATTTTCTTTCGGACAAACGACATTGGCGGGATAGAAAATAGAAAACTTTATCGCTGATTTCGAGTCAAAAAAATAATATTCTTAGTCACATGAGCTACAAATTATTGTTTTCTTTCGTTTTGTAGGATTTAGATAGAGGACTTGTATTTGTGGCCGCCTGAGGGTAAATGGGTCATTGTGGGTTTACGGTTTGGTGGGTGAGTGTGAGTTGGAGAGGGAAGATAGAGGAAGTGAGTGCGTTGGTAGAGTTGTGTTTGGGTCTCTGTGTCCAAGCGGTCAGGCTTTGGTGACGTGTGACCCGGACCCACTTTTACGCGTGGTAGATTTGATTGGGCTTCGGTGGCTTTAGGATAATCCGAATCCGACTTCTTTCGCAAGTTTTTTATTCTTCTTTTTGGCCCTTGGCCATATAACCCCTTCCGCAAGTCCTTTTCTCTTTTGGGTCATAAATAATCCCTTCCACAAGGGTTTTCGCTTCTTTTTTTTTTTAAACCCCTTTCAGAAGTTTTTTTCTTCTTTTGAGCAAATTCCTTCCAGAAGTTAGGAGGGTTTTTTTTAAAACCATTTTCTCTGTTAATTAATTTATTTGTTTCTTTATTTATTCCTGCGGTATTTTTTTAATGAATTCGGATCCGTTGCTCTCATAGGTGGGGTTTGAAAATAGAGTACACGCTAAACAACGTAGTTGTATAGAGTCTAACCAGATATAACTAACTACATTGGAAATTAATTGCATTGAAATGGTCCAACCTCGAGGAAGAGTAAAAAGCACTTGGGTTTTGTATAAATAAATAAAAATTTGAGAAAGGGGTTTTGTATAATTAGGATGAGAATTTTTATGTGAAATGTGGTATACAATGTGATAAGCGTATTATTTATTCAGATGAATGTATTCTAGGAAGTTTTGAGCCAAGATCAAAGGGACTGTACAGAACTTTTTTCTTTTTTTGGTTGATTGGTTATTTGGTCATTATGATTGATCTTCACTTAAAAAGAGCAAAAATTAAAGCATATAAATAAACATAGAATATTTTATTCCCAAGCAAACAGAACACGGTGCATGAAGCCCAAGTGCCAAGAATTCTTCATAACTTGGTGGAGTTCTCAAAGAAGATGCTCCTCCTCTCCAAGCATCTCTCAAGGAAATCCATAGATACAAGGCATCTCACATTTTATGTCAATAAACAAGTCCATTCTCCGTTAAAGCACCAAAAATGCTTGTGTCATTTCTGGTAAATTCACACGGCATATAACGCATGAGAGAGAGAGAGAGAGAGAGAGAGAGAGAGGACCAAGTTGGAATAAACAAGATAAATTATCAGTAGAACAGCTGAATTTCAGAGTCAAAGTCTGAAACAATTTCACTATCAAACTATTTCGTTTTTGATTGTCTTGATTCAGAAGTAAGCAGCAAAAAGGCCGAACATTAACTACCAAATCTCAGTTTAGTCACTAGGGAACCAAAATTAAATCATCTAAAATTCTGCAACATTTAAAAAAAGAAACCAACCAAAAAATTGGATCCTTTAACCTAGTTCCTAGACTTTTTTCTCGACTTAGATGAAGAAGGCTTGGATGGCTCTGCAACTGCATTCTGAGAGGCTCCTTTGGAGGTAGTTGCTTGGTTTGATTTTGAATTTGAAGTGTTGGATGTGGCACCAGCTTCATGTTTATCTCTAGCTACAGAACCCTGGGAGCCTCTTACCTGAGCCGCTCTCTTATCCTTTCTCTTAGGCCTGTAGCTTGACCTTTCTCTCTTGGGGAGCCACCTTTCTGGATCTGGTGGTGGCCCTGGGTTTGCAGGGTCAAACCCTTTAGGATACTTCGGCTTTCTCTTTCTCTTTTTCTTTGACTTGGCCTTACTCTTCCCCTCTTCATATGTCTCAGTGATCCTAACATGAGAAATTCCCTCATCATGCTTAGCCCCAGATGTCTTCTCCAAACTATTCACATCGACAGCCTTCAAACCTGGTAAAGGTTTCAGCTTCTTTTCATAAGCTTCTGCCTTCTTAACATCCACACGAGCAACTGTAGTTACAAGCCCAACCAATGCTTCCACACTTCCATGGCTTTTCACAAGCTCCTCATATAGACGGGCAGCATCCTCTTCTCGGCCATGCCTGAGCTTGAAGGAAGCAGCCTCTTGCATTAAAACACTAAGTTTGTCGTCCTCGGTCATGGCATTTGACCACCAGTTGATTGCAGCATCAAGCACGGCAGCTGCACCATCAATGTCGCCGGCACGCTCTTTAAGAGACACAAGAGTAGCAACAGTCGCAGGCATGTGCTGGATATCAGGTATCTTAGCAAGGGAGTCAGCTGCAATATGAGGATGGCCAGCAGCAGCTGCAACCTGTGCCCTCGCCAGGAGAACAACCTTGGACTTGTCAGGAAACTTCTCTGAAAACTGCCCTAAAATGTCTTCAGCTTTCCCAGCCTTGTTTTCTCTTACAAAAACTGCAGCCTGAAGTAATGCAGGCGTCACACTGTCAGGAAACATGTCTGGCAGTGCAGCAACAAGTTCACGAGCCTGAAAATTTTCAGCAATAAATAGAAGTCAGCAAGGGGAGCCCACAACGGCTTACTTTTGTTATATATTCACTGTATAGTACTTGAAAAACATAAAGAGCTAACAGAAAGACCTGATCCATTTTATTTGCATGGAGAAGTAAAAGGACCCGATTCACATATATTGATTCTCTTTGTTTTGAAAAAAGCTTCAAGTCTACTCCAGGAGCAAGGTGGAAGTTTTGTTTGTCTTTTTCTCTTAGTCGATCAAATTTCCTTAGGCCATCAGAAACATCTCTTGGACCTCTCAAAGCAATTAGGTTGTTGACTGCCACAGCAAGTGATAACTCATCTGCCAGATCTTGTTTAATAACGTCCGTGTAAGCTTCAATGGCCTCTTGTTTGTGCCCAAGAAGCTGTTGGAAGAAGCTAATTTGCATTAATGGCTATTGAATTTTCAACTTTGCAACAAGTACAGAAATGAGTACAAAATTACCTGCTGAACATAAGCCAACTGGACAGCTATCGGCGCCAATTCATTTTCTATTTCATCTTCAGGGAAGTTATCGGAGACCATTGTTTCCTGGCCAATTCTGAGAAACCAAGTGCATTACTTCCACCAGTTCATTCTCACTTTAACACGAGTTTTTTCAGCAGAATAGGTGATATGGCATAAATAAAAATAAAGGGTGCTTAGTAATAAACTGATTTGTAGTTTTAAGGACATCGTTGAAGGAAGCGGACAAACTAACATTCAAAAACAATTGATGAGGAAGGACATAATCAAAATTTGAACATAAATTATGTCTTTATAAAGGGCTTAGTGGAGAAAAAACCAGATCCACACAGCAAACCTTAAGCAGTTGTGAGGCTAGGTTGAGTTGAGAGGATAAGTTTGTATGCCTTAATGCTGTCTAGTAAATCCATTGGGCTAAATATTTCATTAAGAGATAGTCTTTATAAAAATAAAAATAAAGTATAAAAAATTAAAAAATTATGCCCACCAAAAAGTTAAAAATGTTGCAATAAAAATTAAAGAGTGAAAAATAATAGTAATAAACATAATACAAAGCTGTTACTTCCTGAAAATATCTCCTCAGTAAGTAGAATATGACTTGATTTGTATCATCCATTTCAATAAACAAAAATGACATATTACCTTCTGGCTACGAGCAGGAGCTGTTCAGCATCTGTGTACTTATTCAGTTCAATGAAAGAACAGGCAGTGTTGTATGCCAGCTCAAAGCTGTTGTTTGCTTTAACCCCAAGTTTGTCCATCATGCGTTTCACTTCAGAAGCCCTCCCAGCTGCAACCAAACCAGCTACAGAATTTACCTCTACAGACTCAATCTTGGGCTTCGGAAGGTTCTGATATATATCAATGCAAGCATCCATCTTGTTTAAGCGAAATAATATCTGGGATTCTAAAAGCATGGTTGCAGAACTTCTCTCTTGGCTTTTCAAGGACTGAAGAGCTTCATCTAACTTGTTTTGTCTGTATAAGCAGTATGCCTATTTAGGAATAGAAAAAGTAGAAAAGAACATTATTGAGAGACATCATGTATGTATTTACAGTATTATACACAAGTAACATGCAACCAGGAACATTCGATAATGGAAATCCATCAGATAAGTGGGATGCATCATGTAACATTGTTTTTATCAGAATAACCACTTATTGAGTAAGAGAGCAGGCATGTAATAATGTGTAAACAGAAGAATAAGAAAAAAAAAAAGACAAACATGCTAATTGGTTTTCAACTTTGAATAAATTCATTTTAGTAAAAACAATTGCAAATCATGCATCACAAGAAAGCACAAACCTAAGAACAGAAACACTCATGCTTCATTTCTGGGAAATATTCAATCTCCTAACTGTCCAGCAATAAAAAAAACACAGAACCTGCAACCGTCTGAAGAGGACTTCTATGTTTATTCAACTCAACTAAACAAAACGCCAACCCACATCTTGTAAGCATACATAACCTGCCGTTATTTTACTTTATTTCCTAAACATTTCGGACCAAGGTACAAGTAGTCATCATGCAAACAAAACAGAATTGCAGCTCAACAAAATAATCACAGTTCTAACTTTCTAAAGACATTCTCATGTGAAATCTGAACCAGACCTCGATTAATATTCTCATGCACATTCACACAACTGCACCCCTGAAAGTTTATAACTTACGAGAGTTTTTATCATATCATTACGATAATTGTCGGAATAATAGAATGCAGCGAAAGTGTCTCAATAATAAACCAACATTTACACACACAAATATGCATAAAGATATACAGCTAACTGCTACGGAGTGGTTGAATTTACTAAACCTCGAAGAATCTGAAATCCGCAGGAGGACTCTTAGAAGATCGAATTGTGGAAAGGGCGCCATCAACGTCATCGGCCTTGACCAAGGCCACGACCTTGCACCGAAGCGCGTCCTCATCGCCACGAGAAATTGAGAGAACTGCGATTCGTTTCGAAAATAAAATTTACGTAATGTAATGAAAAAAGAAATTTCAAAATTCGGGGGAAAAATACGAAATTAAATTAACCTTGATCTGCAACTCCGACGGCTTCTTCGAATTCGGATCGCTCGATGTGCCTATTAAGAGAAGCGAAAAGATCTTCGAGTGAAGGCGGAGGCGGCTGCGGCGCGGGCGCCTTCTGCTTGTCTCTGGCTCTCGGAGGCATGGATTTTCTCGCTGGCCAAACAGAAGAGGGAAAGGTGTGCGGATGTGAAGAGAGGTGTCGGCTGAGTTTTGGTTTCGACTATACTCGACTGCTCTTTCAGGTGAGATTCCCAGCGGGTCGGATATGGCCCAATTAAACTAACCCTTGGATGAGGAAGGGAGAGTTAGCCTTTAGGCCCAGGCGACGGTCAGCGAACAACACGGGCCGTGTAAAAGTTCCTTTTTTAAATGGAAAAACTAGATGAACTTGGCCCAAAATAGAAACCGATCTTTTACAGAATTACACTGATGTTATCCAACTTATAAATTGCTATATAACTAAAGAGCATCTCCAGGAGTGTCTTCAAATTTTAACCAAATTCTAGCTAAAATAGTTAGAAAGCTATCATAGCAACCACTTAAAATGTGTTTTCTCCAGCAATGTTCTTTATTTTGGCTAATATGAAATATTTTATTATTATTTTCTCTTTCTCTTTCTCCCTCTTTCTCTTGCAAATCAAATATATTAAAAAGAAAAGTAGAAACCCAACCCCACAAACCTTCCAAATGTCTCCATCTCTCTCCCCCTTTTTCTCTCTCTTTCTCTTTCTCTTCAATTTGGCGAGCCTCCATTTCTCTCTCCTCCTTGCTAGATATAGAGAGCCAAAAGTTAGTTCTCCAAAATAGAGAGCCAAGTAGGGAGTCTGCTGGAAGAAGGATTTCCCTTCTTTTTAGCCAAAGGGAATTTGTAGGGATGAGAGGATAGGGAGTCTGTTGGAGATGCTCTAAGGGAATTTGTAGAGAGAAATAAGGAGTAGATGAAGACAATAAAAATTAGTTTCTAAACTTGTTCCATTCATCTTTGATAAGTATTTATTTATAAGCTTACAACTATAGGTATTTAACCCACAAATGTAAAATCCCGACCCAAAATTTAAATTATTCGATAATTTAATTAATTTAATAAAATATGAAATTCCAATTTTTGCCCTCGAGGGTAGGGGTATTTTGGTCACTTTTTAATCCAGAAGGATTTGGGGAAAATGAATGGTGCTATTACATAGATTGTACCGAGATGAGTCCGTAGACACTTAGTGGGCTCGAATCGGAGTTGTAACGAAGAAGTTACGATCAAAAGAAACGTAGTGGCAAAACCGCAAAAATTTCAAAATGGGTTTCTAAAATCAGATTTTTATCACTTTTCTCTCTCTCCCTCTCTCTCTCCCCGAGCC